TACACCGGCCACCCGCGGCTAATGATTTCCTTCTTAGATAACAGTGTATATCGCGTAGCTACCGACTACATTTAACATTAGTCCACTCACGAAATGAGGTAGGTCAATTTTTACCAGAGATCCGAGTGTTCAGGTAAAAGAAAGCCGCTAAAATCCCAGACTTCTGGTTAGAACGACTCTGCGACACACCTATATAATATGGCTACATCCACTGCAGTGTTGCTGTGCGTATCATAGTAAAACATTAGTAGTTAGTTAACAATTAACAAACTAGCAAATAATTGATCCTAAACAAACTAAACAAACGTGACGTCACTATTGTTGATCATAAAGTCCAGCGCCATTGCCCCAGCTCCAATGCAATGGGAGGTTGACCCACATTGTGACGAGGTCAAACATTGCTGAAGTCGACACAGGATTTCAATCAAATTAAGTTTGTGTAAATAAAGTTGAAATGTACACCCCTCTACATTGTTATGCAAGTGCATTCAATAAGGACTTCACAGGTCAACAAACTCATACAATGGAGAAACGTGGAAAAACAAGCCTATTTGCGTTCTACTTGAAAATTATAATTTCAGTCAAATAAAACATGTATCTCGTATATAGTATATGTCTTGGATTTAAACTGGGGGTAGTACCATAGCCGAATCATACGACGTAGCGTGCGTCAGTGTTTCCAAATGTGAAGCGGAATATTGCTAGTTGCTATAAATTTACTTCTCACAATGTCACGCCAATGTAAATTGGAGCCACGTCTTTGTATGATGCATGACTACCATAACATGCATCACACGTATGTCACTCTGGTTACCTTCGAATTATATTTGTTTTATACGACCCTATCTTTGTAACAATTTCAGACGTCTGCATACCAACGAAAACCTCTAAATTGAATTAATCCAGACGCCAAGGTTCGTTATTTCGTCCGCTACTACCGGTCATCGAGTAACAGCTTGACTACGTGCATATAAGTCAACTTATCTGTTTAATAGTTTGCCGTGCCACCTCGAAACTGCACAAAGAGCGTCGCCTTTATTTAACTGTTGGAGCTGAACGTCACAAATACATTAAACTAAAACAAATGGCAGTACATACAACTAGTAAGTTATTGGCAAAGCAATAATCAGGAGAAATGAGATCTACCGTAAACGGTTCCACCCCTAATTATATGCGAGGAGATAATATGTTAACGTTGGTTGTTAGGCATCAAGGAAAATATTAATAGCATACTACGTTGCTATACTTGTATGTATATGTACGGGCAAAATTACACCATATTTTTAAAACATTATATCCAATTTACTATATTATTTTGATATCCATTGAAAACAAGTGTGGAGTTCTATTCACATTGAATACTTTAAAAGTTTGAATCTTATTAGTAGGAGCAATCATTCATACCCATGGACTGACGCACTTTGATCTCTACTCAGTGCTGTATCAG